AGTACTCTTCCAATGTTGGGAAATTGAAAAGTGTACTACCTGAAATTAAGATTCTACATTCAAACATATTTCATGTATTTGCAACTAAATCTGGAGACTTGTAAACAAAATGACGTCACAACTTGTGCTAAAAATTTTTGAATTTCTAGAGAAATACGTTTTTGGAACAAATTTAACCGTGATATTCTTATTAATGACAATAARCTACACATTCTTAACATTAAAAATTTTTCGTGTCATATACACTTTAAAGTATGTGATATAACCTATTCATGTATAGAGAAAGTCATTACAGACTCACTAGCAAGCATTTCATCGAGGAGTGGGGAAGAGGGTGCTACCTAAACCAATCAGAAATCTGATCTATAAACCAGGCCAATAGACCAATAGACAAAGAAAAGTATTCCCAGTAGATTGGAATTAGGTAAAACATTGCGTTAGCCGAGTAGAGGCTTTGCACCATCAAGTGACGGCAGCCATAATCCAGCTTGGACTACCTGTGGTTAGATGGCAGAACAATAAAATCCCTTTGCTCTCGGGAATTAAATTTTTTTCGTGTAAAACGATTGTACGGTTCCTGCCATCTAACATGGCTGCCGTCACGTGATGGTGCAAAACCTCTACTCGGCTAACGCAATGTTTTACCTAATTCAAATCTACTGGGAATACTTTTCTTTGTCTATTATATTTACATATCATACCAATATCAATGCTTCATTGACATGGAAAATGAAAGACCAGCTACGTAGGCTAAATGAACTCTACCTTGGGCGTAATGTTTTCCCATTTTAGACCAAGTGTCATTCCCTAGAGTATTACTTCTTTGTCTGATGGTTGCGTATGAGAAGACATATTAATATGAAATCAAACAAAGAATATTTTTTCTCAAGAGAATGACACGTGGTCTGAAATGATAAAGCATTAAGCCCAAGGTAAATAGGTCTATTGAGATCGTCCACTCAGAATGTTACCTGGTACAAGCATGTCAAGGCTGAGAGGTTGTCTGTTGAAGGGATCGGTGGTAGAGTTGAGTAGATGCCTTGTTATGATTGGACGGTCCATGACTTTACCACTCGTGGGTAGGATAACAGGATCCCCCATCAGAGTCATCATTAGTGGATCTGAATAGGAACAACACAATTACCTTATTTCCTGAAGCGCCAAAAATGCAATAAGCCCCCACCCCCAAGGAATGTTGCGGTCCTTTGTGAACGACACAATTACCTTATTTCCTGAAGCGCCAAAAATTAAATAAGCCCCCACCCCTAAAGAATGTTGTTGTCCTTTTCCCTTGGCTAACCTTTTAAAGTCATTTATTGGTAAAAATAATTTTGACTTTCCAAAAATCAAATGGAGGTTTTTCATGTGACGTCATGGCAGCCATGTTTGAGGGCAAAACAAAAGAATTTTTTTCCTTTGGAAAATTAATTTTCTTGTCATGCAAAAATATTGCATTGAAATGCCTGCCGTGAAAAACCTCTATCTATTGATGGTTTTCAACCATTCCCAAGAGAATTAAATAACATAAGACACGACGGCCATGTTGGAGGATATAACAAAAGAATTCATTGACAATCCTTTCGTTAATTTCCTCCAACATGGCCGCCGTGAAAACCATCAATAAGACCCCCTTCTGATAAAACCCCAGTCCAGAAACACTGAAAAAGAATAAGTTTATACGTTCAACTATTCACATTCAAAAGCATTGTTTAGTTTACCTTTGAACTCATCCGGAGCGTCATCAAAGTCTTCATCTCTTAAAGCATTTTCAACAACTTTTTGCTCGACTTTCTGCGCAAATTCTTTAAACTCTCTCACGACGTCCTAAACATAAATCATATCATGTAAGTCCAATATATTGATATACACCGTTCTCATAATGGCTGATAAGCGCAAGAAAACGAGGTCAACTTGCAAGGCTGGCCATGGTTACTCATTCAAAAAAAGGCGGATAGCGGAAATTCAGGGCCCAGTTGTACGAAGGGTGGATAGCGCTATCCGGCGGATAAATCCTTATCCAGTGGATACGTCGATGCTGTTATCCAATAAATTTATCCACTGGATAAGATTTATCTGTCGGATAGCGCTATCCAGGCTTCGTACAACCGGGCCCAGGATAAAACAAAAGGTCGATTTTTATACTTTTCTTCAATAAACGCATTCCATGTACTTTTATATCTTTTATTGTGAACTAATGACAGGGTGACCTTGTTTTCGTGCACTTGTCAGTTAGTATGAGAACGGTCTTTATCCCTGGGAGAAAGTTAAGCCTGGCCCAATCGAAAAGGAGAATTTTTGCTGCACCCCAGAATTCTTTTTGTTTTGTTTGGTTACCCATAGGTTTTTAAGTTCGATGTACTAGAGACTTCTATTCTGTAAAAGATTCATAATGTTAGGAGAGTTTGGAAGAAGAAAGAGATTTTATTAGCCGTTGTGATGTTAAGGAAAAAATATACCTTTTTATCTTCGTATGCAAATTGCCCATTCCAGATCATTCCCTCGAGAATTGTTCTTTTATGACGAACATGTTAAAATATTTACACATGAAAGAATCAACTCCCTAGAGTGGTATCATATGGTCTGAAATGTGCACAACGCATTATAAAAACCCCTTGCAGCACTTTGCAATGCAGACCTGACCAATTTCAATCTCATGAGAATCGGAACCTATTGTTTTGTCCACCAGATTGAGCTGCTTTGACGTCACATGCAAGGGGTCAAAAGGTTTGAGTTTGCATTACTGTGCATTGTGGTACTGTTTTAAGAAACATATTTCCAATATGGCGTCCCACTAAAACATACCCACAATGCACTGCAATACAAACTCGACCCAGTTTTTTCCCGCAACCTAGAAACGGATAAAATATACTGATCATTATAGATTCTTACGTCGGATTTCATGAGAGTCTTGTTGAGGTGTCCACAAGCATCGTCAAACAGATCCTTTCTGTATGATCTCTGGAGAATAAATAGCAGTGTGAGCTTATTATGAACAATAATAGTTGGGGGGTGGTAAGGTAAAGAAATATGGGAGAATACAAGTTGAAGCAAAGAGTGGAGAGAAGAGAAAGCTTACCCTTGGTCTGGCACCGAAGGGGGCATGGGGAAACGGGATTGTACCGGTCAGGAGTAATAGGTACATGGGAAGAAGTACAATAATAGAGGCTTTGCACAATCACACGATGGCAGACATGGCAGAAGGCACAACAATAGTCTTTTACCCTGGGAAATTGATTATTTCTTAAGTAAATCAGCTTAGACCAGATTCAATGGCTCCTGCCTCTTGTCATGGCTGCCATCACGAGATGGTGCTAAGCCTTTAGTGACGAAAGGTTAGCAAAATAAAAGATATGGTAGAATGGTCGGTAGAATACGAGTTGAAGCAAAGAGTTGAGCGAAGCATGACCAGGTCTGGTCCAGTACTGCACGGGATGGGACGGGATGGGACACGGGGAACAGGACTTAACGGGATAGAAGATAAAGCATTGAAAGGGAAAATAAGAACCAGAATGGCATAGATGTGAATGAAATGAAAGAATACAAGCTGAAGCAAAGGGTAGAGAGAACAAGCAAAGCTAACCCTGGTCCGCCACGGGACGGTATACACCTGGGCAATACACGGGATACGGGACACGGGATACGGAACACGGGATACGGGATACGGGATACGGGACACGGGATACGGGATACGGGACACGAGATACAGGATACGTTACTGTAAAGGACAGGAGAGGAAAGGGTAAAAATAAGAGAGTTAGAAATTGAGAAAGAGAAATGTAGCGAACATTTACCTGGTCTGAAGCTACTGCATTTGCAAACTCATCAGAATGAAGATGCAAGTAGACATCTATTAACCTGTTCAGTAGATTCTTGGGTTCGAAGCCATACTTTTCGGGATTTTTGACCTGTAATAATCAAGGATATTGAGACTCGACTAGTAAAATAAGTCTTGAATGGTAGCGCTTCAAAGTAATTAGTGTACAAGGCAAATGAGGCTAGGTTGATAAATGCGCTACCAGGCCAAGCAAGAGCACTGTCTTTCAATCCGCACCCACACGTTTCGATTTGTGATTTAGCAATGCCATGACTTTGATTGGCCCAAAAATCGTTTTAGGGTTCCAAAAATATCATTTTATTTTTGTTGTTTTTTCCTTATTACTGTTTTGCTTTTTGTCGTTGTTTCTTTTTCAAAAATATTGAAGAAATATTGAAGAATATTGAAGGCCCAAAAATCGTTTTAGGGTTCCAAAAATATTATCTTATTTTTGTTGTTTTTTCCTTATTACTGTTTTGCTTTTTGTCGTTGTTTCTTTTTCAAAAATATTGAAGTTATTATCTAATAAAGTGCGCATCGTTGCGGTTAATATTGATAGCTCAAATATATTGATCAAGCTACCGGCTACAAAGGCGTAGACACACGAGGCAAGGCTGAACACGACACTATTTTAATTTACGATCGCATGTCTTGTCGTCTCGCGTGGCCGCGTCTTCACTGAGATAACCATGCGAGGTCAATTAGCATAAATCATAACAACGACAGCCTTAGTAAACAGTTAAATAAAGGACAGTAGCAAGATATTTGACTGGCTTACCTTAAGATTGCGACATTTTGGACCACACAATTGCCGCAGGTTGAAATTCAGCATCGCTGCCAAACGATCAATTAGTTCCTATAAGTGTTAAGAAGAAACGTTAAAAGATGAAGACTTTCACATTTTTGTTTGATGTGATATCTCTATTTTGTCCATCATTTCCCTTTCCTCAAATAGATTGCTATCAAAATACACAATATCCAATGTCGTTGGGAACAGACTGCTTTATCTTGGGCATATTGTTTTCCTATTTCAGACCACGTGTCATTCCCTAGAGTATCATTTCTTTGTTTAACGGTAGCCCATGAGGAGACACAAGAATATGGATACAAATAAAACAAAGAATCTTATTCTCCGGAGAATGACACGTGTTCTGAAATAAAAAAACCCTGGATTTACTTTAGGAAGCACTATAACCACTTACCGGCCTAAGAAAGGGTTCTCTGACGTGTTTGGTCAGGTAATGCATCATATCAAGTGTCTCCGAGCCGAGTGTCAAGTACGATTTGCACTGGCGTTCATCAGTATCAAGCTGACGCTGACGGCTTGTACGATATTCCTGGCAACGAAAAATAACACACTCAGATATTTCATGTTTTAATGCAACTAGTGTTACAGATGCGAACGTCCAACATTTATGTCACTTGACAATAGACCCCATCGGCATGCCAACATGGCGGCCGCAAATTCGGTTGAGTTATTATCTTAGTCTCAAGAGAATTACGAGGGGCATGAAATACGACATTACGTTTGGTTTACATTTGTTTGGTGTTCAGATGGATAATGCAGCTTACCCTGGACCGTGCTTCCCATTCAGCAGTGTTCTGCATCATCTGCTGTATTTCATTTATTCTTTTCAGAGAATCCAGCGATTCGTCGAGTAGAAAAATGGTATCGTTGATTAACATATTGACAAAACGAACAAATCCATCCGTCCTGGAAAATATCGATAACAGAAATGTCTTACTCATCTTGATTAATAGTATTGATGGTGATAATGCTGATGATAATGATGATGATAATGATGATGGTGATGATGATGGTGATGATGATGGTGATGGGGATGACGATAATGATGGTGATGATTGTGAAAACGACGACGATGGTGATGACGATGATTATGGCGATGACGATGATGATCTCATGAAGGTGATGACGATGATGATCTTATGATGGTGATGACGGTGAAATGATGATGGTGATCAGATGGTGAAGGTGATGATAATAATAATGGTGACGATGATGCTGATGCTGATAATAATGATAGAGATGATGTAGATTGTGATGGTGGTGATAATATCTGATGATGATGATGGTGGTAGTGATGATGATGTTGAAACGATGATGACGGCAATGAGATTCATTTACACCAAGATTGACACTAATCTATTCAGTGAGATTCATTTACACCAAGATTGACACTAATCTATTCAGTGAGATTCATTTACACCAAGATTGACACCAATCTATTCAGTGAGATTCATTTACACCAAGATTGACACCAATCTATTCAGTGAG